TCAAATGCCAAATTAAAGACAGTCTTATGCCAAATTAAAGACTTTAGGATTTTTTTTTTTTTGGTCTCCCAATTATGTATAATTGATACCTGTACTAAATGTTCATTATATGCCAGGCTTTGTCCTAAGTGGTATATATGTCTGATATTGAAGATTTGCTACGAACATGGTTGAGCAAATGACCTTGTTGTATACTTGAGCATTTTTTGGGATATATGCCTAGAAATGGTGTAGCCGGATCTTGAGGTAGCACTATTTCTATTTGTCTGAGAAAACGCCAGATTGATTTCCAAAGTGGTTGTACAAGTTTAAAGCAATGGAGGACGGTTTCCCTTTCTCCACATCCTCTCCAACATGTGTTGTCACTTGAGTTTTTGATCTTAGCCATTCTGAGGGGTATAAGGTGAAATCTCAGGGTCGTTTTGATTTGCATTTCCCTGATGACAAATGTTGAGCATTTCTTTGTTTTTCTGCCATTCAGTGTTCCCTCTATTGAGAATTCTCTGTTTAGCTCTGTACCCCATTTTTTAATTGGGTCACTTGATTTGTTGCTGTTTAACTTCTTAAGTTCTTTATATATTCTGGATAATAGCCCTCTATCAGATATAGGGTTGGTGAAGATCCTTTCCCAATCTGTAGGTAGTCGTTTTGTTTTGATAGCAGTGTCCTTTGCTTTACAGGAGCTTTTCAGTTTCATGAGGTCCCATTTATTGATTGTTGATCTTAGAGCCTGTGCTGTTGGTCTTCTGTTCAAAAAATGAAAAAAAAAATAAGGAAATTTAAGTTTTTAACATAAGGAAATATTTAATTAAATGACCTTACCTATGTTGAATGATCAAAGGACAAGTTAAACTAATGTTCATGCACACTTTATGGTAATAAGAAATGTTTATTAATATTTAAGTATTAAATATCATAAAGAAAACATGGAAACTTTGAAAAAGAAATAAAAATCTGCACTTAGAAGGAAAATAAAAAGATAAGTGCAATGCCTAAAGAAGAAAATAACTTAACACGGTCATACCAGGAATAAGTAGAATAGACAAGACTTGAATCAGTCAAGTTAAATGCCAACTCTGGTTCTCAGTTTCACCATTCTTTTTTGGTTATAAGGTCCTTAATAAGATGAACAAGTTTCAAGTCCAGTGTCAACCTTAAACAAGTAATGTGCTTCCCTCATGCATGGTTTCTAACATTGAAGGAAGGGCTTGTCATCAGACAGTGATATACATTTGTATCCCTGCTGTCCTTCCACATCAGCCCAGGACACCAAGGAAGTTAATGCATTTGTGCCAGTGGCCTTAATTCTGCTTACTCTTCTATGCTCCATGTGTCTACATTTCTGCATACCTCTGACAGTGAACCTTAGTTAACGTCCTAACATCTAAGACGTGTCAGTCTGTGCTGACTGTATTCAGTGCTTCTCAGGACCCTTGATAAAGGTGCCAGCCTCCCCCTGGAGCTGTTGAGTCAGAAACTGGAGGTGAGGTATAACAGTTTTTGAGTATGAGGCATGCTGAGGTTTGAGAACCATCATTACAGTCTGCTCTGATCTTTCAGTTCTGGTGCACATTGCTTAATTTTTTTTCTAGCAACTGTGGAGAACTACTAGGATCTTACTCTTAAATTTTTGTTATTGAGTCTTATACTTTGACTTTGTAGGGATAGAGTATGTTTTAAGAGTAAAAGTGGCCTGGTGGTGGTGGCGTACACCTTTGATCGCAGCACTCAAGAGGCAGAGGCAGGCGGATCACTGAGTTCAAGGGCAGCCTGGTTTACAGAGCAAGCTCCAGGTGGGCAAGCGCTACACAGAGACACCCTGTCTCAAAAAAAACCTAAAAGGGAGGAAAGGAGGAGAGTCAATTTGTAGAGTATTCATCTTTGGCTGAGTGGTAGAGCACTTATGTGCCATCTCCAATACTAATACAGATTGATAAATACTGGTAAGGAAGAGTGAAAGGAAGACAGAAAAGGGCCTTTAAATATAGAAGTAGTACATGCAGTCAGTAGAGTTGTAGAGAAGGCTGCCTCTTGAGCCCTTTTGCTGGGTTTAAACATAAATACTCAGTTGTTCTGACTGAGCCAAATGTGGTTTTCTTCTAAAATTCTTTGAGAAGAAATTACTGTGCTTAGTAAAATATCTATTACAACTACTTGCTTGCTTTTTGTTTGTGGTGTGCACGCATGTGTGAATGTGTATGCACATATATGGATACTCATGTGTGCACCCACGATTGATGTCAGGTGTCACCCTTCAGCTTATTTACTGAGGCAGGGTGTCTCATTTGAATCCAGAGCTTACCAGTACAACTAATTCAGATAATAACTGGGTTGGTCTAGAGATCCTGTTTCTGCCTCCCATTCCTTGGAATTCCAGGCAGGCTGCCTCTCCCACCCAATATGTACATGGATTCTATGGCTCCAAGTTCTGCTCCTCACACTTGCATGACAGGCACTTGCACCACTGAACCACCTCTTCAATCCTACATTGTCTTAAGTACTTGTATTTTTCAGAAAGCAAGTAGACATCTAAAACCTGAGACAATAAAAAGCTATCTACCAGCCATTATATGAGGGATGCCAGTCATGAGAAATAGCATGCTCAGGAGAAGCTAGGATTGACAACTGCTAGGAAACTCAAACTCTCATGTTTGGTTGCTGGGCGATTTGTGGTAAACTTTTAGGTTTAAGGTGTAAACTCTGTGTCTCTGACCTCTTGCACTTTCTTCATAGGTTTCAGTTTCCCCATCCTGTATCTGAAGAAAGAGACTATGTAAACTTTTGTGTCCCCATCCTTGGCTATTCTAACTCATTCTCATGCTGTCTTCTCTCTTGTGTCTGAAGAAAGGGACAATATAAACTTTGTTGTTGCTGTTGTTTTGGCTTAGTAAATAAAGTTATCTGTGTACTATACCATATTTACATGTTATATTTTATATTTAATTCTACAGTTACTTTTTATTCTTTTTATTGTTATGTGCATGGGTGTTTTGCATGCAATATGCAATGCTCATGGAGGCCAGAAGAGGGTGTTGTATTCCCCAGAAACTGGAGTTACAGATGGTTTTGAGCCTTCAAATCAAAGCAGGGGGTGGGGGTTAGAAGAGCAGCCAGTGCTCTCTTTTTTTTTCTTCCTCCTCCGCTTCTGTCTCCTCCTCCTCTTGATCTTCTTCTTGCTTTCATTTATTTATTTATTTATTCATTTATCTATCTATTTATTTATTTATTTATTCACTCACTTTACAGCCTGATTTCATCCCCCTTCCTCCTTTCCTCCCAGCCCTATCCTCATACCTCTGCCCACCCTCCCTCCTCTTCTTCTCAGAGAAGGGGATGCCCCCATGAGTACCAGCCCATCCTGGCACATCAAGTCACAGCAGGGCTAAGTGCATCCTCTCCTGCTGAGGCCAGATAAGGCAGCCTGGCTATAGGAAAGGGGTCCAAAGGCCGGCAACAGAGTAAGAGACAGATCTCACTTCAGTTGTTAGGGGACCACATAAAAACCAAGCTGCACATCTGCTACATATGTGTAGGGGTCCTAGGTCCAGCCCAAGCATGCTCTTTGGTTAGTGGTTCAGTTTCTGTGAGTTCCCATGGGCCTGGGTTAGTTTACTCTGTAGGTCTGCTTGTGGTATTGGCTGAACTGCCTTTCAAGTCCTGTATTCAAGGTTTCTTATGCAGGAAGATATACCATTTCTTTCTTGGGAAAAAAAAAAAAAGTGTGGTGGTACAGGCTATTTGGGGCTGTCCCCAGGATAGCACCACAGGAGAAATAGTGTGCACAATATATGTGTTTGTTTTAAATTTGATAGATCTGAAGTGGGGGAAATTCCCTGCCTTATATAATTTTAATAACTATCATACTTATCTCTAGCCCTAGACAATAGTCATTTAAAATACTGCTTTAACAGTGAAAGAAAGCCTTGCTATCTGGTGTGACAGGGATAGAATTGACATGGTTATGAAATTTTTCTTTAACTTGTCAAGTAAAGCACCTTCATACCTTTATTTAGAGAACATGTTTACATTTAAAATTAATATTTTCATTAGATGTATTAACAGTTTCATTAGACATATAACTAGGCTGTATTGGGAAGTTGCATATGAACCCGGGAGTTTTGCAGAATTGTGTTTGACTCTGGTAGCTTCTTTTAGAAGAGTTAAAGTGTAAGGAAAGGCTAACAGACACTTTACTTTAAAAGTCTTACTGGCTTTATATGTTGAAAAATAATGAAGTACAGAAATGTCTTAATAATAGAAAGATAACACTTGCTTGGTCTATATATGAAATTAAGTTTGAGAGAGGCAGACCTGAAGTTTAAGAAGGAAGCTGACATTGAATTTTGAGGCACTGATACTAAATTTGGCAATAATACTAATGCTGCTGAAACACAAGATAAGGGCTAAAGAGAGAACTCAGCTGTCAGATGTTTGCTGCTCTTCCAGAAGATGCAGATTTGGTTAGCACCCACATTGTTTGGCTCACAATTGCCTGTAACGCCACCTCCAAGGGAGCCAGCATCCTCTTGCCTTTGTGGGCACCCCTACACAGCTATGGACTAGTTCCCCAGCTTTAGCTCCCCCTCTTGGGAAGGAACAGCAATGATTTGCCCTGATTCCCCTTTATCCCAGTACTATGCTTTTTAAAGCCCTGTTAAGATTAAAGCTATCAAAGATATTTTATTTTAGTGATTTAAGATAAAATACATGGTTTTAAGAGAAAACACAGCAGACCCAAATGTGGTGACCACATCCCCCTGCTCTTAAGTGCCCCTCATCTACTGCCCAGCATAAGGTACTCGCCCTCTCTGCCTGGCCATTTCCGTATCTGTAGAAGTGAAGGAAGCTGGCTTCTAGTTGAGGTGTTTTTATGATTTATAGAAAAGATAAAGTCCTCTTAGAACCAGCTCTTGAGCCTGCATTGGTAGAAAACATTGTGTTTAATATCATTTGCACCAAATAATGAATGATTTTCTTGCATACTTGCTCTTGTTTTTCAGAAACTCTGTGAAGGCATATTTAAAGTCCTTGTAAAGGACGTCCCAACAACATGTCAAGTGTCCTGCCTGGAAGTACTCCGCATTCTATCCAGAGACAAAAAGATTTTAGTTCCTGTAACAACTAAAGAAAATATGCAAATACTGCTGAGACTAGCCAAACTCCATGAGTCGGATGATTCTTTGGAGAAGGTGTCAGAGTTCCCGGTTATTGTGGAATCATTGAAATGTCTGTGTAACATCGTGTTCAACAGTCAGATGGCACAGCAGCTCAGCCTGGAACTGAACCTAGCTGCAAAGCTCTGTAACCTCCTGAGAAAGTGCAAGGACCGAAAATTTATCAATGACATAAAGTGCTTTGACTTGCGCTTGCTCTTCCTCTTGTCACTTTTGCACACTGACATCAGGTCACAATTGCGCTATGAGCTCCAGGGACTACCGCTGCTAACCCAGATCTTGGAAAGTGCCTTTAGCATCAAGTGGACCGATGAGTATGAATCGGCCATAGACCATAATGGACCTCCTCTCTCACCTCAGGAGACAGACTGTGCCATTGAAGCCCTCAAAGCTTTGTTCAATGTGACAGTCGACAGCTGGAAGGTGCATAAAGAGGTAAGGATGGGACGAATACACACATCTACTTGGAGTTAATTGTTCTTCCGCACAAGAGAGGAGTGCTAGCTGGGAGTGATGGCACATGCTTTTCTTTGATCCCAGCACTCAGGAGGTAGAGGCAGGCTGGTATGTGAGTTTGTGATCAGCCTGGTCTACAAAGTGAGTTTCAGGACAGCCAGGGCTCTGTTTTACAGAGAAACCCTGTCTTAAAAAGCAAAGCAAAACAAAACAAAACAAAAAAAAAAAAAAAAAGAATGCTTAGGAAATGAAAAATATTTCCAGTTCCCTCATTAGACTGTTTTCTAAACTTCAAGGTATTTTCTAAGCTGAATTCTTTCAAGGGCTGGAGAGATAGCAGTTAACAGCATTGGCTGCCCTTCCAGAGCACCTGGATTTTAGTCCCAGCACACACATGGTGACTCACAACTACCTGTAACTTTTGTTCCAGGGGATTTCATGCTCTCTTCTGGCCTTCATGGGTAACAGGCATGCCTATGGTGCAGATATACATACAGGCAAAACACCTATATGCATAAAATAAAAAAAGTGACAGGTTGGAGAAACAGTAGGTTAATGATAGATTCTTGTATTGACTACCATCTTAAAAGTTAGAATAGGGCTGGAGAGATGGCTCAGAGGTTAAGAGCACTGGCTGCTCTTCCAGAGGTCATGAGTTCAATTCCCAGCACCTGCATGGTGGCTTATAACCATCTGTATAATCTGGTGTCTTCTTCTGACGTGCAGGTGTACATGCAGATAGAACATTGTATATATAATAAATAACATATTTAACAACAACAAAAAAGTTAGAATAAACCTAGTCAGTTGACGAGCCAAAGCTGATACCTGTTAAGAGTAAAAACCATTAAATGTATTGCATTACAGTCTCCCAGGGTTTCTTTGTAGTGCTGTGGAGCCCTAACAGCCTAAAACCATAGCTAGATATTTATGTTTACATCAGTCCTAGAAAACAGGCTAAGTACACCAGAAAGTAGGAAGCATTGTTTTAAACCACTAAACTTACTTCTTGACTAAGATCATTCTTTGTGGCTTGGACCTTCCAGCAACCCCAAGGAAGGCAGATTTGATAGTTCATATCTGAGTTTCTACAAGAACAGTGTGTTAAACATGAAATTCAGCTTGAGGAAACCCACAAGGGGCATCACTTGCCCTGTTCATTTGAAGTAATTCTCACCCATGTTTTTGCCAGCAGCTTACTGGTTTGTCTCAGCACAGCTATAGTGAGTGTATACAGGCATCTGAGTTGTAAAGTGCAAATAGGTTTGTATTGTGAAAGGAAATACTTGAAGATCAGTGCTAACAGCTGTCTCAGATGACTGCAGTGTAGTCAGCTTCTACTGAGTCTTGGCAGGAAAAGATGTAGAAAGCCCACATGCTCCATTTGTGCTTTAAAACCAAATATTTGGAATATTTAAAATGTTAGGTCTCTGCTTGTTTGGTACTTTTCTATGGTTATTTTTCTCACACTGTTTGTTTTGGTGTTTTTAAGATCTCCATTTAGTTGTAAAAGCGTCTCTGAGATGGTTGCCTTGTCTTGCTCTACTAGTGTTAGAATGGGTAACAAGATGGTGTCAACCTCAGTGGCTGCTAACAGTGTATGTGTGGGAGGCACATGCTAAGGGTTAGGACACTGAATGAGCTTCACACAGTGTGCTTCAGCTGAGTGATAGTGGGAGTGGGGAGCTCCAGAAAATGTTGAAGTAGCAAAGCCTCATCCAGTGTTCCAGAATGCTTGTACTCCAAGACATAGGCTCTCCCCAGAACAGGCCAGTGGTCCTAGAATAGGTTTATCTGTGTAAGTCACAGGGCAGTTTATGCTGCTTTTATAAAGTATGTGTTATGATTGTGACACTGGGCCAATACTGAAGCTTGCAGAAATATAAACAGCACTGAAAATGGGATCTTTGACAACCTATTTATAAAAGAATGTCTTCGTGGGTCTCTGTATTCAACAGTTGCTCAACAGATGTTTATAAACAATTACTAGACATTGTCCCAGGCATTGCAGAGCTCACTGGCAAATACTAATCATTGTCTTTGCCTTCATGAAACTTTAGTTTTGTAGGTAGAAATGGGCAGTAAATTAGCAAATTGGTGTGTAATTGAATTGTGCTTAGTGCTAGGAGAGGAAAGTAACAATGTGGAGACATTCCTGGACGTCCTTCCTGCAATCTGAAGGCTGAGAATTAGCCACCTGGAGAAGGCAGAGACAGAAGTTAGCTAGAATTAAACATTATTTACAAGACACAGAAACCAAAGCATAGAGTACCTTTTTCTGGAGGCACTCACAACTCAGCCTGCAGAGATTTCTTATCCATTACAGAGAAGCTCAGGAGGGAAGAGTCCACTTCCCTGGAATTCAGTGTGTCAGGTTTTTGTCATACTGAGGACATTTCCAGGAGAATGGTAATGCTTTAAATACCAACCGAAATAAAGCAATATGAAAAATTACTGAGAATCCACTTTTAAAATAAATAACTATTATTTTTCTTCTTAGGAAAAAAAGTGCAGACTCAGGCAGTATAGGAAAATGCCACATATGGGCCAAAAAAAAAAAAAAAATACAAATTACGTTTAAACTCACCACTCAGAAGACAAGCAGACAAGCGCTGCTTGCACTTTCCAGTCAGCCTTCATTTTCATGCTTCTTCACCAGAAAGAAGCATCTTTACAAGCTGCAAATCATTTTATAATCCTCAGCTCTCCCCACGCTGTTCTTGAGGAACAGTCTTCAGGGCTAAGAGTGTGACTCAAGAATGCCTCCTTAGCATTTGTGAACTCCAGATTGGAGGCTCCAACTAGCCAAGATAAATCATTTTAAGAATAAAGGTTTTAAGATATATTCCTTCTGGCAGAAAGCTCCCTAGGAGCAGCCTCTGGGGGTGAGTCTCTAGGCTCCTCATTTCTACACTGGAAAGAGAAATTTTAAAAAGAGGGAACCTTTGATTATTTTGCTATTGTTGTTGACTCTTTAGATTTGTATTGTAACTAAGATTTTTTTTGGAGTATAAAAAAATGGTTCTGCAACCAAGACAAACTTCTGATACTACTTTCCCACTGAGAAATTTTAGAGATAAAGAGCCTTATGGAAGAATACTTGTAGGGTTAAAATCACTTGTGAGTGTAAATAATACTGATGCATATAAATATGAAAATAGAATTTCTCACGTTTATCAGCCTGTAACAAGCTGTACTATAGATATAATGAATTTTCTTGTGTAGTCTGCATAGCTGAAATTGATGGGCCAGAGGCTTTCAAAAGTTTACGGGTTTTTTAAGATATATTTTGCCTGAATCTGCATCCACACCCTCAAACCCAAGGCATCTGACTTTAGGATGTTTATGCCTGTAGTTATAGCCTAACAGTTAGAGAAAATAAAGTTAAAGAAAAACAAAGCATTGGGGTTTGGTTTTAACTGTTTTAACAGGTATTTTGGTTGGTTGGTTGGTTGGTTGGTTGGTTGGTTGGTTGGTTGGTTGGTTGGTTGGTTGGTGAGACAGGATTTCTCTGTGTAGCCTTGGCTCTCCTAGACTCCGATTTGTAGACCAGGCTATACAGGCTTACAGTGATCTGCCTGCTTCTGCCTCCCGGAGTGCTGGGATTACAGGTGTGTGCTACCATGCCCAGCTTTAGCAAGTATTTTTATGACTCCTTTCATTTACATTTCACCAAAAGCACAAATTAATGACTGAGTGTCTTTTGAGGGTTAACAAATTAGTACCAGTTGTTCCTGCTGCAGTGTTAAATTCCTGCTGCCTGTAAACGCATCATAGCAGATTAATTTGAAGGTTCTTTTTCTTAAAACTGGTCTCATTTCCACATGTGAATTTAGCTGTCCTCTCTCCTTCTCCCTTCCTCTCTGAAGTCTCTCCTTCTGTCTTCTATCCCTCTACCTGCCTCTCTCTTTCTTAAAGATAGTATATTTGAAAAGGTGAAATGGTTTCTCCAGCAGAGCATAACATTAACTGTAGAAAGGTAGTTTTAAAATAATCTTGTCTTTTCCTATTTTATTTTCACCAGTATCTCTATTGATGGAACAATTTGTGTTTTCCAGAGACTCTTGACATGGTTCCCATTTCCTCCCTGTGTGCCTGGGTACTGGTGCAGCAAGAAAGCACAGGGCCAGTAGACACTAGAGACAGACAGCCAGTGCAGACAGAGAAGACGATCGCCCAGTGCTCAGAAGATGCTGTGCACCTTACAGGAAGCACCAGAAACGTTCACTGAGAACACCACATAGGAACACAAGGCTTATTCTAGAAATTTTGATGGAAATGTGGAAAAGGATAGGATATTTTAAAAAATAAAAACAAGCCAAAAACAAAACAAAACTCTAGGCTATGCAGCAATTAGTTGTTGAATCATTTCAACAAATTCTTCTTTGAGCCTAGGTTCTAAATGAGGCCCAGATTTGAGGTGAAGCAGTCTGCCCTCAAGGTGCTAACAGTCTAATAGGGAAACGCATACAGACACAGGGAAATAAGCGCACAGTTGTGTCTTATTCTGTGTCTGCTGCTTTGTAACAGCAGAAATAAGTTGGTAATTTATAAATAATAGAGCTTTATGCTACGTTTCTAGAGGCTGGGGAGTCCCAAATGAAGAAGTCACATCTGGAGAGATCCTCCGTACTATATTATAAGAGCATGTAGAAGGTCAGGTGGTGGCAGCACGCGCCTTTAATCACAGCACTTGGGAGGCAGAAGCAGATTGGATTTCTGAGTTTGAGGCCAGCCTGGTCTCTAGAGTGAGTTCCGGGCCTACACAGAGAAATCCTGCCTTGAAAATCCAAAGGGAAAAAAAAAAGCATATAGACATGTGGAGCCTAGAGAGGTCCTCTGGTGCCAGTATTTACCTGTTCATTAGTTCATTAGTCCTACCACCATTGCCACTACCACAGAAATCAGGTTTCAGTTTGGGAAGGACATTTCAAACTATAACATACTCTTAAAATATTTACTATTTTTTTCTATAGTCT